GAGTGACGCCACGTGGTAGGAAGTCGAGCCATTTGAAAAAGTGAAATTAAAGGTGCAGTTAATCGGTGGTCCTATTAATGAGGGTCTTTTCAGATGTCAGGGTTAATTCCTAGGGATATATCTTGCCTTGATCAACACGTTGTGCAATTATTGCAGGCCCATATAAGCTCGCCTAATTGGTGAAATTACAACTTTAGTGGAACTGTTCAATCATACCTAATCAAAACCTGGGGGTCTCTATGTTGATATTCGAACCAAATGTGGGCCCTCTAAGAACACTACCGACACGAAAATAAGGTCATCCAGATCGGTTCACCCGTTTAGAGATTCTGAGATTCAATGTCGAATAGCGAACCGCTAACTGAAGATGGATACCGACCATGATCATTATACCCGAGCAAAGTCTGGTGCGTTAAATTAACTATATCATAAAATAATCACCAAATGCGCTCAATTACTACAGATAAGACAACTGCTCTCCCATTTATCAGCACACGTGTGAGCTCCCAAGTGTTCTTCAAATATAAAGTTTCTCGCCCCATTTAATGCTCCTTTACTCACTAATTATGAAAAAAGTTATATAATACAATGAACAATTTATACTACACCATGAATAGTGCTAAAAAATGTACTACCCACTAAACAATACCCGAGAGTACATCACTATAAATAGTCGTAGGTTTTTTAATGTAAAGGATAGCTAAACCTCGACAAATATTTTCTCTCAATAAATGCACTATTTCACACCCGAATAGACCACGTGTTCATTTTTTAGATCCTTGATGACCTGCCTCGAGGTTGTCCTCATTTGAAGAAAGAAAGTATGAGTCTGCAACAGGTTCGGGTGAAAGAACTGATGCATGAAGGGGGTCAGCGATGGGATACATAATTGGCTAAGAGCTTATTCACTCATGACTTTTGCTTTGCTATTTCCAAAATCAACATTCTGGATCCTGCAACTAAGGACATGTGGATTTGGCTGATGCAAAAGCTAGGTACCTTTTCAGTTGCTTCTTCTTACTCTGCTTCACTTCTTAAAAAAGTCCATAGGTTGGAAAGAGTTGAAAGCAGTAAGACTGCTAAGTATGATAAGACTGCCAGGATTAGATGTTGGCAGTTAAATGTTTAAAAAAGCCGAGACACTTCATTTGGAAGTGCTTCTCTGAGGCCTTGCCTAAACCTGGTGCAGAGGGGTATTACTTGTGGATTGGATCTACCATTGCTGTGGGGAGCAAGCTAAAAGTATAAAGCATCTGTTTTTTTGTTGTAGAAGAGCTTGATGTGGATGCTGGCACCAGTTAGTTGGAACTTTCAGAAGCAATCATTCAGGACTTTAGGAATTGGTGGTGGTCGATCTCAGCTTTTGATAACTCGTCTGTCTCAAAGGCACGGAGTCAACTCTCGACATATATTATTCTTTGGTGGCTCTGGAAAGCCTGGAACCTGTGGGTCTTCCAGAAGGTGTGGGTGCCTAAGAGTGCCATCGTGCAGGCTTCTCTCAGGGAGTGGAAGGAGTTCCAGTTGGTGTGTTGCTGTTGAGGTGGAGGGGATTGCAAATACACTCGGTTCTTATGTCCAATGGTATATTTGTTTTCTCTGGCTTTGGGTTGTTTGATCGGTTTTATGTCTTTGTATTTTTCGGCTTCTTGCTTGGGTGGTTTGTATGCTTTATGTCTCAAATCCTTATATAGCCTTAGTGTATTGGTTTATGGTGTTGTTTTAGACCAATAATGGTATGACTCTTTTTTTTTCCAACGATATAAAATTCTCATTAAAAATGCCAAATAGCAATGTACACGAGCAAAGCTCGAATCCGCCCGAATCCTGGGAGGTTACAATATCACCACTGCAACCTAAACAGAAATACTGCTCGCAACACGAGAATAAGAACCACCACAAAACATAAGCTAAACTACTACACGACAACTACTAAAACGAAAGAGAACCCTCCCAACAGGAGAATACTCGAGTGCGCTCCCAACAGGAGAATTAAGTTGCACTCGAGCCAGAGACAATCCTAACACACAACACGAACAAACATCCACAAGCCAACACAAACAAACACAAAGAAAAAAAAAACAGAAAAACAACAGCAAAAGCAATAAAAGATAAACAAGAGCCCTTCCCCGGCGACCGAAACTGAACTCAACCAGCAGCGACCGCCCGACACAAAGAAAACCTCGAGCCCGAGAACCGCTACCGAAACTGCACGAATGCCTATACAGCAGGAGAACTCAACCCCCGAGACAACCCCGAATCGACCCACCTACAACCGAGAGGACAACCAGCCAGCTCCACTCATCAGCCCAGCACGAGCTCGCCTAACACCACTAGCCAGGCTCGGCTGAGCCAAAAACTGCCCCAGTTTCCAACACAAGAAAACCAGAAGGGAGGGAGTGACTCGCCCCTCAACTCTGACTTCCCCGACAGGAAGAGTCGAAAAAGCCAGAGTCCCTTCCCACCCCCGAAGACCCACATGCCGCTCTGCACCACCACCAAGCCACCGGACATCCAATCTCGAAAGTCCTTGCAAGAAGCCCCACCATAAGGCAAGCACAACCAACCCGAGACACCAAGGACGGCGACAAACGAGGAGGCTCGCCGGCAGCCCCACCAGAAGGCAGGCCAGTCGACGAAAACAACAAAGAGAAGATCGAGGAGCATACCTTCGGAAAGCGGAGACCCAACGGCGGATAAGAATCCAATCGTCGAGCAAACAACGACCGGCAAAAAACGGCACACCACCGCGAGCCCCGACATCGACCAAGGATCGAAAAATTGGATAGACCAACAACTAGCAGCGGCGAGAACAGAGGTACATGTCTTGTAGGATTAGATTTAGGCTCATTATGTTCCTATATATATGTGTACATGTCTTTTGAATAATACACAACATATTTTTCCCAGTTTCTTACATGGTATCAGAGCCCACTTTGTGCCTGGGTTAGAGACATGATATCAGAGCCCGACCAACTTTGTGTCTGGGTTAGAGACATGATATCAGAGCCCACTTTGTGCCTGAGTTAGAGACATGATATCAGGACTCACAAGTGAGGGGGCGTGTTAGAATATCACTTGTGAGTTGTCCCACATTGTTCATACATGGAAAATAGACCCACCTTATAAGACTAATGGGCTACTCCTCCTTCCACCAATTGGTTTTGGGATGGAACCCCACTTGGGCTTCATATGGGTTTTCCTTTTCCCCCAGTTTCTTACAGAGGTGAAATCAACTGGAGGTGGGCCGAGCGGTCGAAGGCGACCACTGGCCCAAGCTCGTCGTCTCCGGGAAAGGCAACTGGACTGAAATTGGCGATGCGCGGCGGATTGGGATTTTAGGTTTTCTTCGGCAGAGAAAGAAATTTTTTCAATCATCAATAATGGTATGACTCTCCCTTTGTTTTTTGTATATATCTTCAGGCTAGGTAGCCTGCGTTGGAACTCCTGGTTGTTTATACGAACATCCTGTATCGTTTGGAAAAAAAAATACTTTCGAAGGACAACAATTATCACATATAACTTACAGTATTTTATTTATTTTTATGCATGTGCACAAGATGATCACTAATTTGACAAATAAATATACAATAATTTAAAAAACAAAATGAGAGGTGTGAAAATGTGTTGGCTAAGATGCATGTGCGGTATGTCATCACTCAATTATCATCAAATCGGTTGAGGAGAAAAGTGAAGTAAAAACTTTGATTTTCTTCTCATATTTTTTAGCCATTATCTCAATAAATAAATAAATGAATAAATAAATAAAAAGAAAAATTGAGAGTTATCATTTATTACCACATCTAGATAGGCTTATTGAGAAGCTGACGATAATATATTACCATAAATAAATAAGTAGTATATTTCTATGTTATTTTCAATTACTAGGGAACTAACGATCGATATATCAGCCCTTTGAAGATTTGCAAATTTTAATGATTGGATCATTGGATGTGTGGAAATGGCTATTTAGTCTTCAGTAATTGGCCTCCCTTTGGCGCAGAACTCGTCATTATACATTTACACGAATTCGGACGATCTGTTTGTCCAGGTTCATTTATCCATTGTGTATTTGTGTTTTGTACGTACAAAACAATATATATAAACTCAACAGCCTCTACCTCCATCTCAATCTTCATCTCTCTCTCTCTCTCACACACACTCAAACACACACTGAGATGTTCATCATCAGCTAGCTAGCTAAAAAAAAAAAAAGAAAAAGAAAAAATTAAACACAAATTTCGTATAAAGCTGAAAAAAAAAAGAAAAAATTAAACACAAATTTCGTATAAAGCTGAAAAAAAAAGAAAAAAAAAATGGAGAGTGGTTTGAGGAAATTTTGTCCGAAGAAATTAGAAAGGGATTCATTTCATGTGATTCACAAGATTCCTTCTGGTGACAGCCCTTATGTTCGAGCCAAATACGCTCAGGTCTCATCGTAAAAGTGGCGGTATTGTAATATAGGGAAAAATTCAGCAGTTCGATATTTTTTGGGATTAGTGTTTTAAAAATGATACAAATTGCAACATAACATACTGCTTTTAATGAGTAATGTCTTAGAAATGATATAAATTGCAATACATAAACGTACTATTATTGATGAAAAGAAAGCTAGTGTACTGAAAATAGACTTTAGATAAGTACACGGACCGAAATTGAAATTTTCCTTGTGATATATATATTCAGCTAGTGGAGAAAGATCCTGAATCAGCAGTGTTGTGGTTTTGGAAAGCCATAAACGCGGGCGATAGAGTTGAAAGTGCTGTTAAAGATATGGCTGTTGTTATGAAGCAGCTCGATAGGACCCAAGAGGCCATTGAAGCCGTCAAGTCCTTTCGCCGCCTTTGCCCAAAACACGCCCAAGAATCATTGGACAACGTCCTCTTCGACTTATACAAGGTAGTAATAATTGTTTTAGGCAAAAAAAATCAAATATGGTTCGTTTACTTGTCTAAAGTTCCTTTTTGGTACACCAACTGTCTTCTCATCAATAATAGTACGTTGTTACAATTTGTATTACTATTGGTACATTATCCAAAAAATGGTTCCTTGTTTTTGGGATCGATGTCCTAAAAATAATACAAAATTGCAATATATATGACATACTTTTTTGACGATTAATGTCCCAAAAATGATACAAATTGCAACATAAGTTATTATTTTTTATAAAGAAAAAGTTAGTGCACCAAAAATAGACTTTAAACAAGTAAACGGACCAGAATATGAAATTTTTCCAATTGTTTTAATCACTATAGTTACTAAAAAATGTCTACTTGTTGCTAATTAAGTGCTTCCCCTTTATTGGGGCAATCTTTGCTTTTGAAGAGTTTTATTTACCTCAAATATGTTAGGCGAAACAAATGATTTTTTTAAATTATTATTTAGTTTTATATTGTCATAATATTAATTAATTATAAGCAATTTGATATATATACGCAGAAATGTGGAAAAGTTGATGAACAGATAGTGCTGCTAAAGCATAAGCTGAAGAAGATATATTTAGGGGAAGCTTTCAATGGGAAGCCCACAAAGACTGCACGTTCCCATGGCAAAAAATTTCAGGTTTCTGTCACGCACGAAACCTCTAGGATATTGGTAATTAATTTAATTTACCACCTTTTTGCTTATTAATTTGTTGATCATGTGTACATATTTACAACGAGAAAATTACATAGTTCAGTAACTTAGGCGGTTTCTCATTTTAGTCCACTAACTTATGCCGATCTAAATTTGGTCCAAAAACTCCCAAAAGTTAGTCAAATCAGTCCAATTTCGGTTCCTGTCGCCAAAATTGATTGTCAATTTCAGTCCAATTTTAGTCCAGTTGGACTGATGTAACTAACTTTTGGAAGTTTTTGGACCAAATTTGGATCGACCTAAGTTAGTGGACTAAAATGAGAAACAACCTAAGTTACTGGAATAAAATTGCAATTTTCTCTATTTACATATTAATAAAATAGAATGTTATATATTATATGTATGTATATAATATTTAAAGTTATAATAAGTTACGTAAATAACATATCATATTTAAAGTTATAATAATAAGCTACGTAAATAACATATCATATTTTAAAATTTTAGCATTTAGTACAAACGAACAATATAAATATAAATCGCATCACTTGCATATAAATCACTATATTTCTGATATAAATGATAATAAATAAATAATTCTTTGTTTTTATTGTTTTGAGATATCGAGATAAAATAATGTGTAATTAAATGTGATTGAAAAAAAATATTGGCACAAAAGTTACGGGTCAAGCAATTGAAATGTGAAATCATGTAAAAAATGTAAATTTCAAAAGAAATTAAAGGGGATTAAATGTTAGAGTGCATTGATATTAAAAAAAAATGAAAGAAAAAATATAATTATTATATGTGTGCAACTAAGAAAGGTGAAAAAAAATGAAGTGTTTTATTAAAATTTATTCCATATATATTGTTAAAAATCATAAAATCTTACTATATTGACCAAATTGATGAAAGTAGGGCAATTTGGGCTGGGCTTATATGCAGAAGTCCAATTTCATGGCAGCAGAAGTTGTGTACCGAAAGGCCCAAATGATTGACCCGGACGCTAACAAGGCCTTGAACCTATGCCAGTGTCTCATGAAGCAAGCTCGTTACAACGAGGCCCGTTCGGTTCTCCAGGATGTCCTCCACTGCAAATTCCAAGGTTGTGATGACCCAAGGTCAATAAAACGGGCCCATGACCTGTCAAAAGAATTGGAGGCCCATCTACTTAAGAGCCCATATATTTCAGATGATCATATTCCGGGCCTGAATTTCGAGGATGATTTTATGGAAGCCCTTGAACGAGTCTTAAATGAATGGTCACCAAATAGATCAAAGAGACTGCCGATATTTGAAGAGATTTCTCAACACAGAGATCAATTGGCATTATGTTGATATCTTCAAAGCTTAATCAATATTGGTTGTCAATGTAAAGTGTTGTGATTTAGTGGAATAATGCAACAATTTCTAAAAAGTAGATAAAAATAGAAGCAATGTGTATTTGATTCGATGTATATACTTTTAAACATGGACATATATATCATCTTTGGTGTTTGGATAAGGGAAATCATATATATGTTCCACATGAAGTTCCTTTGTCTTCTTCTTTTCTTTGAATGAGATGATTATCTACTTCTCTTTAAAAAATTAAAATTGCTTTCAAATAAATGAATGGTCATTGCAAAATTTTGTCTCTACATCTGTGATATTTTATTTTATTTTCTGTTAAAATATCACTTATGAGTTTTCTCACATAATTTATATATGGAAAATATATAAGTTTAGTGGGGGATTATTCCTCCTTTCATCAATTGGTTTTGGGATGAAATCTCACTTGAGCTTCATCTGGGCTTTCCTTGCTTATGGTGCGCTTCACGTGTGTGGGACTGCACCCGTTTTCTCCCGTTTCTTACATGGTATCAGAACCGGTTCATTGGGACCGTGCGATGACGTACCCATTACCCAACTCGTTTCTAGTAGGGCTTGGGCACCAGTTGAAATATATAATTTACCAAATATAGTTTATTTTTTTGTTAAAATATCACTTGTGAGTTGTCCCACATCGTTTAAACCAGTGTTCTAAAAGTCGCTAGGCGCTCGACCAGCGCCTAGGCGGCGCCTAGTCGGGGCCTAGAAATCAATATTAAATACCTTATTTTTTATTTATTTTAACTACCTACATAATAAAATTATCTCAACTTATAATAAATCGACACATTTAAATCTAAATAATAAAATTAATATATTTTAAAGAAAACATGAGAACAAAATAATGTAATTAATATTTAAAAAATTTAAAAAAAATAAAAAAAAAATAAAAAATTGCCGTCAAGCCCGCCTAGGAGCGCCTAGGTCCGCCTACGCCCGCCTAGGCGTCGCCTAATCGCCTGGCCGCCGAGCCCGCCAAGGCCGCCTAGGAGCGCCTAGGCGCTGCCTAGCCGCCTGGCCGATTTTTTTGCCGATTTGTGCAAATCTGAGGCGCCCGGACACCGCCTAGCGCCTAGGCGCCGCCTAGGCGGCCGCCTAGGCCGATTTTTAGAACAATGGTTTAAACAGAGAATATGCCTTATTTTCTAGTGGGCTACTCCTCATTTCACCAATTGGTTTTGGGATAGAACCTCACTTGGGCTTTATCGTGATTTTCCCTACTTATGATGCACATCACGTGTGTGTGGGACCGCACCCGTTTTCCCTCCGTCTCTTACATTTTTTATGGAAACGAGCTCGCGTTGAAGTTTCTGGACAAATATGATCGACTCTGCATTTGATTTGATTATTATTTGCTTTCTTTTTTGTTTATTTCCTACTTATAGACTTATTAGAAGCAAGTAAATAAATAAATATCCTACAAGTATCTTGTAGGTGTAGGACTCCTCTTTATTTATGTTTGGGTTTGTAACATAAGCGGGCAACTTTGATTGGAATTTATCAGATTTTAGTGAATTCACGAGAGAGTATCTCGTATTTTTCCCGTTCTTATTCACGTTCTACATCAGTTGGTATCCAAAGACCAGCGACGATCCACGATGCCGCCCAAGAGAGATAACACCGTTGACGACCGTTTCCAGCGAATAGAAGAGCG